GGATGTCAAGAAAACGTGTAATTAGTTTAGTGAGCTCTAGATTTTCTGCTGTACATACAGTCCACCTGATGGTAAGTGGATGCTGTGGCCTATAGACATCTAAACTTATCCTCAATTAAGAATCAAAATACAGATGCGTCGTCACCCGTGAGGACTAAGATGGAATGCCTCTCCTCTAGTAAAATGGGTCTCCGGTTCTCACATTATTAAATATACATATTTTTAAAAACGCATACAAAAGTGCACAGATGCACATATAAAAATGCTTCATTTTATACTACTCTATTAGAAGGTACGCTTAGTGGTTGTTAACGCGACTGCTGATCATGAGGTCCCGGGTTCGAATCCCAAACCAAACCAAAAAAGTCAGTTATTGAGTTCTTCTTTCGAGGAATTCTCAGTAGCTGCCCGAAGTTTGGAAGTTGGCGATGTCTTACCCACGTGCCTCGGAAAGCATATAAAGCCATTAGTCCTGCGCCTGATCTCCTTTCGTGTCCCTTCACCGTCCCATCGTTCTATGAGAGTGAAAGAATAGAGCGTGCACCTGTGCTTGCGCATACACATGGGAAGGCTGTTGAGGCTGGCCGCCGTGACCGAAATTCGGTCTGGAGGACATTATTAAGCGAAGTGTAGGGCGCCCAACCACTAGATGCAGTGACGATCTAATGCAGGAAGTCTATGGATGCTGTTTTTTCAGGACTGTGCTTTGTGGCGTTCCTTAGAGGCGGCCTATGTTCAGCAGTGGACTTGTGGAGGGTTCTAATGATGATAATGATGATGATTAGACGGTTCAACTGTAGTATGTGGGCAGCTGTAATTATAATGAAATTAGCTTGAAAAAAAGTAAAAAGTAAAGATATAGCCGACCCACAGGTGGGGCACGTAATATCACAGACATGCAGGTTTCCGTACGATGTTTTCCTTCACCGGTGTATCCTTCCTAGTGTGGTGGTGCTGGGAATGGTAGTGCCGGGATTGGTGGTGACGATAAATTCTAACAACTTCAATAGCTGTTTATTGCAATATTAATTATTGTTTTATTGTGTAAGTGATAATTATCCATAAGTAATTGTGCATTATGTCCTTAATACGATGCGGTAGACATTAAAGTTTTTATTAGTGTCACAATTTTTGTACTATTGTAATCTAATTAAATTAATTACAGAACCTTTGACCTTCGACACAGAATTTTTTTATAATAGATCGGGGAAAGTATCTTAGTATTTTGATTTGTATAAAGATGAAGAAAAATCTCTTTGATTGTACTGTTTGTACCTGGCTGGTTTTAATATCAATACATTCGAAAAATAAAAATAAAAAGTAAAAAAAAACACTTTCTCATCATTTTTCAATTGTTTTTCTGTCCGCCAAAATGAGTGATTCTAACGAAGAAATTCCGATGGATTCTGAAGTTTTATTACAAAAAAGGGAAAAATACGAATAGAGCCGCAAAAAGAAATTGTGACGTTTATGGACAGAAACAGAAACTTTTTTATTCAATATAGGTTATAAATAATACTTATTGAAAGTTACTCTTTTGTTTAATTACCACTGGTTCGAAAAAAATCTTCTGTCCTGGGTTCTTCCAAGCAAGAAAGCAAAAACCTCAGCCGGACATTTTTTTAAACATTAATTTACAATATAATATTTTATATAATTAAGTAAGAAAACATTTAGAAACAGCATGGCAGCGATTACCTCATTCCCGGTGGTTAATATCAATCATGTACTGTTTAATAGTATAATAACCCTTACTTTCTATAAAATTTAAACTTTTTGATAGATATCCTGCATATTTTCGGGGACTTTAATTTAAACGCGTATACATTACCCCATGACAATCACTGACTCTCTGATGTCAAGTAACTGATATAGGGAAACTGAAGCAGGAGATGGGCAACACCATTCTTCTGATAACTACTCAGAATAATACAAAACTGCCGTATCCAACCCGCCTGCCAAGAGTGGCAACTATGGCAAAATCCCCCCTATAAGGTAATCTATGGGTGAGGTCAATGTTCAGCAGTGGACATTTATAGTAATGGAATGGTCATAGAATCACGTAATATAAACACCATCTGTAGACATGTGTCATTCATTCATTTCTAGTGACCCGATCATTCAAGTATTGATTCGTATTACGAACCGTATCAGTCGAGTCGATCATTCCAATGAATCATTTCGAGTTTCATTACTCTGTGATCTGTGAGATCCGCTCGATAATGTCGGTCATAACCATTGAGCTATATGTACTACGTACTAGAGAAGCCATTTCAAACAAAAACTGTGTCCTACTCTATGTTTTCGCGCATGCGCGGGAGTAGAAGTCGCGCATGCGCGAAGACTTTAATTTGATATAAAATAAGATATTAATATAAAATAAATATAAGAATTTAATATAAAATATCTTAATTTCATCTAAACCAACAGGTTATATTTCTAAATAAAACGTAATAATAATTAATTTATGGAATTCACAAATATTCAATTTACGCAATATTTAGTTTGTATAGATTGCACTACAGTTCAGTTGAACATAGTCAATGTTCGGAATGGCTTCTCTAGTACGTAGTACATATAACTCAATGGTCATAACCATATCTTTATTGCAATCGAATGGTAACAATAGATGTGATGTTTTAAAAATAGCCCGCATTTGAACCCGGTTTGGGCGTAGCGTATTATAAAAAATTAAATTACACTTTTGAATATTATTATTGAATTACATTATTAGATTTCGTTATTAAGTTACATTTTTAAATTAGGTATACAATACGAGATAAATTATTGAATATTCTATAAATTCAATTCAATTAATAATCAAAATGTCAAGTAAAAAAAGAACAATAATAATTTATTATTTATTTTATTTTATTTATCTTCACGCACAATCCCTGACGTGGTAGCCAGAGAGAACAGATCGCCAAGTGTCACGATCCTTACATACCTCTTTCGCTTCTTTCAGATTCATTATCTTCTTCATACATGCACGTCTAGGTATCCGAGTACTCTTGACCCTCACTTCTTCGAGCAATTTGCTCACATGGTCTTCGAAAGCTAGTCTCGGTCTATCTCGACACCTTTTAATATTAACTTTCGCGCTATATATTTTCTTCACCATTCGGTCTTCACTCATTCGCTCAACGTGCCCAAACCATCGAAGCACGCCCTTATCAATTTTTGTGATAAGGTCATCTTTCAAACCTGCCATATTGCGAATCTCTTCGTTTCGCTTTCGGTCGGCCATGGTAACGCCGCACATTTTACGAAGAGATCACATCTCCACTGCAACAATAATAATAATAATAAAAAAAGAAAATTATATAGAAAATTAAATAAAACAAAAATTATTGAAAAAGAATTAATTAAAATAGTCAGGTCGATGTTGTCCACACAAATTAAATAACATTAATATCAAACTATTCATTTAAATTATGGAAACATTTATCATTTAAATATAACTTTTCGTCGGTCGCCGGGTCGCCAGACATTACTATGCTGTTTAATCGTAGGTTCTGTCAATTGCTTGATCCGGAACGTTCAAAAAAATGTAATTGCAATCATCACTACTTTGATGCCCGGGTCGAAATAACGAATACATCACCATTGACACATGTTTAACCCGCTGTCAAAGAAACACGCACGCATCAAAGCTTTCATACTATAATGACAGTAATTTATCTGTGTATTGATTTATCCGGTAACGCCGCAGTGAAAGTCCCTCTCAGTTCAGGAGTACCAACAAATTTCACTTGGAAAGGAAAAGCTGCAATCATTATCATTATAATATTTGCTTCACGGTGGTATTTATGATAAAGAACTGGGATATTTAGGTCTGCGATACGTTTAATATACTATAAATAACTAGCGATCTTCCGGCTTCGTGCGGGTATTTTTTTATAGGATAAGTGTGACAAACGAGCACACAGTCCACCTGATGGTAAGTGGATGCTGTGGCCCACAGAGATCTACAACAATCCTGGATAAAGAATTAAAACGCAGATGCGTTGTCAGCCCTGAGGACTAAGATGGAATGCCTCGTTTCCAGTAAAAAGGGTCTCCGGTTCTCTACACTCGCCATACGAAACACAGCAGCATTAAGCTGCTATTTTACGCTGGTAATCCCATTCGTGCTACGTATAAAATTTCTGGATCTTGACAACAGCATATATATATTGTTGCGCGCCACTATTAATGTCTTGTATATGGCAACACTAGTTACCACAAGCGCCCTCTAGTGTCTAGTAGCAGAACTAGGAGAGTCAAGATCCTTCTAGAAATTTCGGGACCGATATGTACTCGAACATTCTAGATGTTTCTACAGTAGAAGGTTCTGGAAACTATCTGAGACCCTATATAAAGCCGGTATAGACCACGACTGAGTCAGTATTGAATTGGCGATACAAGAGAATACTTCGAAGCGAAATAACTGCTAACTTAAGTGATCAGTAGTAAAATTGTGTTTTATTATTAGTGTGGTTTTAGATTGTAATTAGTGTTCTGTAATTAAAGTGTCAATTTTGGTAATTCAATCGGCAGTTTTAATTGTCTCGAACCCCAAGCTCGTAACAATACTATATAGAATTTTAAAAAAACTTTTAAAAAACATTGGTAGCCATTGGGGTCTGCTGACAGAAGTGAAAAATTAAAACTATGTTAAAGTTTTTTTTGTATTTCAAATTAATTGTTGTACCTGTCAAAAATTAAAATGTCATAATTTGTAAATTGAAATTATTAACATTAATCTAATTTTCACTCACTTGGTGAATGTAGAGAACCGGTGACCCTTTACTGGAAACCAGGCATTCCTTCTTAATCCTCAGGGGTGATAAAGCATCTCCATTTTGATTCTTAATCGAAGATAAATGTAGCTATGGGCCACAGCATCCACTTACCATCAGTTGGACTGTGTGCTTCTTTGTCACCCTAATTCTATAAAAAAATAAGATTAAAATAATATTTGCAAGAAAGTTCTAACCAGTTTTATTTTTTATTTTCAGATGGCGCACCATATTGTGCACGGCACAGCATGCCTGCTAATGTTCATGACAGTGATATGGGCTGAAAAAGAGCAAACGAGATGGTCTCGCCAGATAAGCTCTTACAATGCAGATATCAGTGACTGGGTTCCTTTACCAGGCCCAATGGAACGTGATATACCTCAAACGAAACGACAAGCGGTAGCCGAACCAAGGATACTGTCTGAACCATTCCCAGGTATACCAAGACCGACTGGATTTACCCATGGAGGAAGTTTTAACCAAGAGTCGTTCCCCTTTAGAGCATTTTTCAATACGCCATCAAATCGACAGCTATATCTACAGTCATTGCCTGCAGTGCCTTCAGCTCCACAAAACTATTTAACGGAGCAAGGATTTGGGCAAAGCATTAGATTCGGATTATCTCAACCAAACTTTCCTTTAACGCAAGGATTTGTAGCACCTCAACTAAACTTTGACAATACACCCCCGACAAAAACAAAGCCGCAGCAAGTAGCACTAAATCCGATAAAGTTTGAAAATTTTCCAAAACCAAATCCGTCTTTAAAGCCCCAAGTTCAGACTTTTATTACGCAAGCACCGAAATCAAAGCCAGAAGTACCTAAATTCTTCGATGAATACCGCGTAAAAAATATCAGCAACGACTTTAATAATAGGAGACCACAATCGCTACAAAAGTTAAAATACGACGGTGTAAAGACAGAAGCAATCACCCAAAACAAGCCGAAGGTCGAAAGGGAAGAGGTTCAACTTTTATATGTTCCATTGGAGTCCTTAAACAGGGGCCAATTTAATTTTAGACAACCTATTGCTACACCTCAAGCTATTAATATGGATCTATACACTCAAATTCAGAGACAGCTTCCACTGAATACTCCTATCATCAACAACCCTTCTGCAGATTTTCAAATAACAACATCAAAAACTGTTGAAAATTTAGGTCCCAGGCACGAATTTTTGACAAACGGAAATGCCCAGATCAGTACTATTAACCAAATACCTAAATTTTCCACACTGTCGTCGCCTTTCCCAACCCTATCACCATCGACGTTGAAGCCAAAGAAATTAAAACCTCACCAACCTCCATTAGCTATATTTTTAACACAAGATGCTAGAAAGGATAAGCAAGTTAAAGTTGGGGATGTGTTATATTCTTTAAAAAATGCAAATACCGTTGCTGTACTAGACAGTGTTAATCCACAAAACGCTCCTAAAGTATTTATTGGTCCTTCGACATTGACACCACCTGAGAACTACGTTAAATTCGAACTGCCCTACCTGTCTAACATCGAAAATAGAGAAAACAAACTTCGTCAACTACCGTTTTTCGTTGCACCATTAAGTTACAATACACCTCAAGGATTTGCTAAAATTCCATTTCCCTCGCCGCATGTGGGGTCGGTAGTGATAAACTCACAAATTCAAAGGGATGCTCAAATTTCAACTCATTCAACAACTCTATCTGATATTTTACCTAGATTTTACCCATACAGTCTACCACCGTCAAAGCAAGAAAAGAAGTTAGAAACGACAAAACCAATAATAAACTACTACACCACTGTTTCCCCTAGAACTAAGGTCCCATCAAGATATGAACTCAATAATTATGCCTTTGAACAACAAACGTTAAACTCATTACATACACCTAAAGAAACAGATACTGGTCTAAAAGAAACATCTTATTTTCTGAGTAACGTTGGCAATCAATATAATCCTTCTGATTTCGTCAATTTCCCATCAGAATCCAATTATCAAACACCAGAAACTGTTCAAACTTACACTATTGCCCCAACTGTGACAACGACTTCAACACAAAAACCAACAACCAAGACCACCACAACAACTTCCACAACGACTTCAACTACTACAACTACAAAGCCTTCAACATATCCAAGTCAATTATTAGAAACTCACAATCCTTATTCTATTAATCAAGCGTTCCATTTTAGTACCCCAATAGATTATCAAAACTTTTACGATGAATACAAAGAAAATTATTCAACTCCTGGAAATGCGTCACCTCCACAACAATCTACGATAAATATCTCAACACCAACTCCCCTCTCTCAAGAAACCGAAAGACCACTACCAAAATACTCAAATAGATCACCTAATTATTTACAAGGTTATTCGCCAGAAATTCATTACGATTCTGAAGTACAAAATCACTTTACTTATAATACAAACCAACAAACAGTTAATAGCAAGGAGACTTCCGATTACAGCCAAACGGAGAATCCATTAATTCAGAATGAAAATTTCCAACCTAGCAGTGACCTTACGCCACCAAGAAATGTAAATGAACACATAGAAACTGAACAAATCTTAGCTCACAATAACTTTGAAACCCTACACACTACACCACCGGCATCATCTGAAAACTATATCCCTACTACTGGACCTATAGAAGAATATAACCAGTATGAAGCTAACTTGAGTACTGACAAAAATCAAGTAATAACTTCAAGTACTTCTACTACCACAAGTACAACGAGACGAACTCCGTTAAGGAGTCGAGGTCGCCCAAGATATCCGACAGTAAAACCTGACACTGGAGAATATACAACTAAATCATTTGTAACTCGTAGACCCTTAAGAGAAAGAAGGCCTTTACCAAGTAGGCCAAGATATGAATCAAATAAAATAACTACTGAGCAACCAACAAAGAACCCCACTGATTCAGTTGAAACCACTACTAAATATATGAGGACTAGAACAAGAGGACGAATCCACTACAAGCCATCTGATGCTGACGAAATTTACGACAAGCAAACAAAGACACAAAATGGCAAAGAAAATGACCTCGCATATCAAAGGGATGTTTTACATCAGAACTACCCAGTAACACTTATGGAGCGGATGAGTACAGTTAACATTGAAGCCATTACCGAACCAACAGTTAAAGTAACATCTCCGAGCATAAGGCATTCTGATGACACTGAAAATGCCTATAGCAATGATAAAGTCTCAATAACCGAACATACTGCTAACACGGAAAATAAAGACCTTTATGAATATAGAGACGGTCAAAGTAATAGTCCATACATACCCAACCTTACTTCAACTAGTGATGATGAATATATCTATAAGCTCAGAAGCAGTGTTGCACCTTCAAATGCATATACAACATATGATGAGGTAAAAGAAGAAAAAACTGATCACAAATTAACAACACCTGAATATCCAAGTGAAATATCGGAAGTAACTACTTCTTATATTATTGGTTCTGTAACACAAGACAATGAACGAATCGTTTCAGCAAACAATGAATACGAAACCATAAAAACGGAAGAAACTACTACACAAGCAAATTTCGTAAACGAAAATTTTGCAAATCAAGAAGAAAATCGAAACTCAGAACAAGAAGCAAACATTTTACAAACTACTCCATCATATAATAGAGTACGAATACGCCCAGGAGTTATTCGACAATATCACCAAGCGTCAACTGAGTCTTCTAGAGTCAGAGGAGACAGAAGGAGGCCAGGATTGGCAGTAACTTATAGACCAGCATATGATAAACGCAGAACTACAATGCGCATAGATGAAATAGAAGCGGATTTAAAAACAAAACAAGTACATTCTCGTCCAGACTTCCAAGACTATAGGCATCCTGTTTATAAACCAGAATCAACGACAGAACCGACAATAACACTTTCATCTACACAAGAAGTAAGCACAAAACGCGGCTTGTATCGTCGAAGACGACCAACGTACACAACTTCGTCTACTGAAATACCTACTAATAAAAAGAATACATATGAAATTAAAAATCGTTTCCGAGGGCGCCGTCCTACAGAAAAGCTTACTGAAAAACCTGAAGTAGAAACAGAAACAACTGATACTAAGTACAATGATGGAACAAGATTATCTGAAAGGTTTAACAAAAACTCTGAACAGGAAGAACCCGCAGATCAAGACTCAAATTATTCAATTCGAAAACCAAATTACGCTATACCGGAATCAGATCGTTGGTCACCTAAATTTTCTACAGACTCTTTCAAGCCTTACAATCCTAATGATATTGTAGATGAAACTAAAATGTTAACTGCCGAACATCCAACAGGAAACGGGCCTGAACTCGATATTATAACGGCCAAAAATGAATACGATAATATTCTCATATCGGTTACACCAGCAACCAATAACAGAGCAAATAAAAAAATTCCAGACATTCCTCCAACACTCGAAGCATTAGTTGAACAAAGCAGAATAACTAAGAGTGACGGCAGTGATACAATGTCCACGTTTGAAAGTATGCTTGAAGAAGTAATGAAAAGCTTAGAAGAACAAGACGAAGATGAATACACAAAAAATGTAATGAAACACAAAGGTGGTGAAATCGGAGAAATCCCGCCCGAAAAAATTATTGAAACTGCCGAAAATTATTATTCAAAACCTACTACGTCAGTTCAAGAGATTACAACTACATCAGCTACCTCTGAAGACACGACCCAAATAAAACAGGTAAGAGTTAATATTAATTAGTTCCACAAATAATTTCTGTTATTAATTAATAAGTACATGTATGAATTCCCGTGTAGTGGCGGGTAAGAATACCCACTACCCCATATCTTCCCGTGGGTGTCGTAAAAGGCGACAGAGGGAAACTGAAGCAGAAGTTGGGAAGCAGCATCTTTCTGTTTACAGCAAAAAGCAATAAAAACCCGCTCGCAAAGCGTTGCAACTTGGCAATAGCGTGGCAAAAAGAGCAATGACACTAATAGACGGCCCCCAGTCCCCGGCAGCTCTGCTATTCCTGGCTACGGTAGCGGAAATGGTAAATGCGGGGCAGGGGGTGCTAAGAATCTCCGGTGGAGGTCCGGTTGCCACCTACGACGACTCGACCTGGCATCTTATGACGCACGCATCCTGAGAACTGACGAAAAAATCCTGGAGCTGGAAGAAGAGATAGACAAGTTGCGCTGGAATATTATACGATTATCCGAGATCCGAAGAGAGGGAGAGGACACGGTAATCCTCAAATCCGGCAACTTGTTCCATCACCGGAAGGGCGACCATCTGTCCCTAGGAGGTGTCGAATTTATCGTCCACAATAGGACGTCTCTCGTTAACAACGTTGTAAATATTGGGAGTGTGTCGACGAGGGTTGCGTACCTTATACTCAGAATCACCAAACCGTATTCGCTGGTACACACTGGTACATAAAGGTTTACGCAGCAACCTCGACACATCCCGACGAGGATGTGGAGGAAATGTATGAGGATATCTCTAGAGCCAAGCATTCCTTCAAAACCCACTATATGGTGTTAATGGGAGACTTCAACGCAAAACTAGGTACAAGAGAGAACGGTGAGCTGAAAGTAGGGAAATTTGGAATACGGCAACGGAACCCAAGGGGTCAGCAGCTTCAACCGATTTCATGGAGAAAGAGGGACTTTTTATGATGAACTCTTTCTTCCAGAACCGGCCCCACAGGAAGTGGACCTGGTCGAGCCCCGATGTTCCGACAAAATATGGGATTGACTTCATTAAGACGACTAGACGACAACTGTTTTGTGATGTCTCAGTGATCGCGAGGGTGAAAACTGGTAGCGGTCACCGAAAGGTTAGAGGCACACTAAACTTAAATGTTAAGTTGGAGAGGTGTCCTCTAATGAAGTCAACGCTCCGTCCTCCTCGTGCTCTAATCCAAAGTCCCGAAACATTTCTACTCGAGTTACAAAATCGTTTTCAGTAGCTAGAAGATTGCAATGCATTGGACAACATATAAATGACAAGCTCGTGGAAACTGTCCATGCGGTCGGAGCTAAATTTTGCAAGACCCATCACAGAAGAACACAAAAACTCTCCGATCACACTCTTGATCTCATGGCTGTTAGACGAGAAATGAAGCTACAGTCTTCAGTAAATTTGATACCATACAGGCAACTGAACAGATAGATCTCCAAATACATGCGGCGGGACTTACGCAACTTTAATACTGCGCGTATTGAAGAAGTGATCAAGCAGAACCAGGGCTCCAAAATATTTGCCAGAGATCTGTCTGCCAGAAAGTGCCAACTGTCTAAGCTGAGGACCGAATGTGGCAGCATACTTTCCGAGACACCTGAGATTTTGTGTGCGATTGAGAGGTTCTATGGGCAGCTGTACACGTCATCGTTGGAGCCATACGCAAGTGTGAGTAACGATCCAAGAGCAAGTCTTATCCGACATTATTCCGATGATATCCCGGACGTCAGTCTGAGCGAGATTAGAATGGCTTTCCAGCAACTTAAAAACGGCAAGTCCCCGGGCGAGGATAGAATTACAGCGGAGCTCCTCAAAGCAGGTGGAAAAGGTACTTAAAGTCCTTCAGAAGCTCTTTAATTCCGTCCTTCATGGTGGCACTACTCCGGAGGCATGGAGCAGAAGTGCGGTGGTCTTGTCCTTTAAAAAAGGCGACAACGCTCTCTCGAAGAACTGCAGACCGATTTCCCATCTGAGCCGCGCCTATGTGCTGTTTTCGAGAGTCATTACGAATCTTTTCGCATGCAGCCTCGACGACTTTCAGCCTCCCAAACAAGCCTATTTCCGAAAAGGCTTTAGCACCATAGACTACATACATACCCTTCGGCAAATCGTACAGAAGACCGAAGAGTACAATCTGCCACTTTGTCTTGCGTATGTTGACTTTGAGAAAGCCTTTGATTCCGTTGAAATTTGGGCGGTACTACAGTCCTTCCAGCGGTGCCAAGTGGACTGTCGGTATGTCGAAGTGCTGAAGTGTATGTACAGTACGACTACGATGGCTATCCGAGTACAGAACCAGAGCACGAAACCTATCCAACTGCAGAGAGGTGTAAGACAGGGTGACGTAATATCCCCGAAACTCTTCAACGCTGCATTGGAAGACGTTTTCAAGCTACTGGACTGGAAAGTATACGGTATTAGCGTCAATAGCGTGTACATTACTCACCTTCGATTTGCCGGCGATATAGTCCTTATGGCAAAATCGCTAGAGGACCTAAGCACTATGCTCAGTGACCTCAATAGTGTCTCCCAACGGATAGGTCTTAAGATGAACGTGGACAAAACAAAAATCATGTTTAGCGTTCATGTTACACCTATGCCGGTAGTTGTTGAGACCATTAAGCTCGAAGTTGTTGACAAATATGTTTACCTGGGACAGATAGTCCCACTAGGTAAGTCCAACTTCGACCGAGAGGTCAATCGACGGATTGGCAGTGTTCGAGAGATAACGACACATCTTCTCGTTATACATACCTGAATACCTCAAAATTAGATTGTTGAACCAGTGCGTGTTGCCAGTGATGATCTATGGATCTGAGACGTGATCCTTCACTGCTGGCCGTATGAGGAAGCTCAAAGTCACTCAGCGAGCTATGGAGAGGGCTATGCTCGGCGTTTCTCTACGTGATGGATTTAAAAACGAGGATATCCGCAGTAAAACCAGAGTAACCGTCGTAGCCCAAAGAATTAGTATGCTGAAATGGCAATGGGCCGGCCATATAGCTCGAAGAACCAACAACCTATGGGATAGAAAGATTTTCGAGTGGCAGCCTCGTATCGGCAGGCGAAGTGTAGGGCGTCCCCCCACTAAACGGAGTGACGACCTGATAAGACATGCAGGAAGTCAATGGATGCAGGTGGCTCAGGACCGTGCTTTGTGGCATTCCTTGGGGGAGGCCTATGTTCAGCAGTGGACTTGTGAAGGGCTGTAATGATGATGATGATGATGATATATGAGTTCTAATTCATACAAAATATAGAGTTTAGTTTTAATTTTAACCTCTTTTAATACGGTATTACTTATTATTTAATTTTGTAACGAATTCATAAAATAATCAATTATAAATTTTAATTTTCAGAAAGAAAGTGATCGAAAAACTCGACGCCGTGGATTCTGGAAAAAAGTTAAAGTTCACCCCTCATCAACGGAATCTATAGAAGTAGCCGAGTCGCAGTACTATCCCAGTACAGTAAATAGATTGGGGCAACCTATAAAGTTATCTAAAGCTGGACACGATAAATCGAAGGAAAATGAAAAATCAAAACTTAAAGTCACCACGTACAAACCAAGTTATCGATTCATTCAAGAACTCTTTGAAACTGACAATGATGAATTAGAGATTATACCTGACATAGATATTCCAAAAATTACAACCATAAAATCAGACGATCAAAAAACAAGCATGTATAATGACAGTCACCTACAAACTACAACAACTTTTATGGCAACAAATACGCCTACAGAGAAGTTCAATCCTGAAGAATTAGACTTAGGCACAGGTTCCCCGGATCCAACATTTGCTGACAGTACATATTTCAGTGCTGTGACCGAACCAACTACCAGTAAATCTTATCATTCTGCTGCCAACAGATCTGATGGTTTCAGTTTAATGGATTACTTATTTGGAGTTACTTCATCTGATAATGATACAGAATTCAAGGGAAAAAATGAAACTAAAAAAGATCAAGCTAACTCACTAAATACTTCTTCAGATCTTGATGAAGGTAAAGTAACAAAAGAACAAAGTAAATTCAAAACGACTACAGAAACTACATATATACCAGAAGAAATAACGGCCATCACACCTTACAATGAAGGAGAAAATGAAAAACAGTCTAGCGATAAAAACAAACTTGATATTAGTAAAGAAGATTCCATCGAAGGAACAACTGAGCAATCATTAGAACGTATAGAAACCACTTCTATATCTTCCTTCATGGATTCTTTAAATATCGTCAGTACGTCAATGTCAACGGAAATTTCTCATGAAACAGAAATTTGCTTTAGAGGAAAATGCATTAAAACCAAACGATCATAAAGTGATAAACACCTGTATTTTTTACGTCCGTGCACAGGTAATGGTGCTAAGACTGTGTTCAAACCTTTGGTGGATTAGCGTTTAGGAGTAGCAATAGTGAAAAAATATTGAAAGGAATCATAAATTACATGTCATAAATATCAATCATTTAATCTACGATTCTTTCAATATTTATTTATTAATTATAATTACAACTTGTCAGTACATATGTACTTATCAGTTATTTTGGTGAAATTTTGTAAATTGCATCATAGTTGACTCTTTACTTAATTTCACCTTTGGTACCTATTGTAATAATAGGAAACCTTCATTTATAGTATCTAAGGTTAGTTGCCACCCATTGATAATGTAAGTAATGTAATATAATAGCCTATTTACGAAGTAGCTAATAAAATAGTAATTAGAAATTAAGTTTTTTTACCTTTTGTAATATACTGACTGATATTATTATATTTATTCATATTTCAAAACTGATAAACGATGCTTGTATCTATTATTATTATTATTTTATTAAAACTCTTTTAAAACTTTTGGTTTGTAATTATAAAATAAAATTTTATACATCGCTCGAAATTGTACACATCTCTACCCATTAATTGTGTAAATTCTACTGTTTTTTCAGTGGATTTGTAAACCGTAATAAAAATAATTTAAAATAAAATAATCATAATAAAACGTTGCTTGTTTTAATACATAGTTCACTTTAAGTATACATCAGCTGTAAACACAAAACATGGCATCTAGAGCTTCTTGCCGGTTCTTTTCCGAGCAGTATGAATATAATCATAGATATAGTTATGGGAGAAACAGGCTGTTTCTCCCATCCTTCTACATAACGTATGCGATGCAACGTTTGGCGTCAGACACTATTGTAACTTCTTAGCGGATGCACGAGTAAAAACTTATAGCATGTTTTCTGTATTTAAGTTTGAGAACGATTTACTTAGTCTGATGTTCATAAATGAATATATCATCGCCATAAAGAAAAAGAAAAAAGTTAAGAAGCGGACATATTGGGTACGTGAAGTAAATAAACAAAGAGAGGAGTTTGGACAATACCATACATTATTTAAGAATCTGAAAAATGATGTCGACCGATTTTATCTGTACTTTCCGTATGACAAAAGTGCAATTTGAGAAAATTAATAAAATTATCTAGTGATATAAAAAAAAATACACATTTACGAAAGTCTATTGGTACCAGAGAAAGACTCGCAGTGTGTAAAATTCATAACTATTTTCCAATAAAATTTTAAAGATTTTAAAGATATTCAGTTTTTTGATTCTCGAGTAACGGCCTCATACCGGCGGACGAATTGTAGGGTGTCCCCCACTAGATGGAGTGACGATCTGGTAAGACATGCAGGAAGTCGATGGATACAGGTGGCTCAGGATCATGCTTTGTGGCATTCCTTGGCCTATCTTCAGCAGTGGACTTGTGAAGGGCTGTAATGATGATGATGTTGGATTATAGTTTACATTTAAAATATTTTTTTATAATAAAGGCAATAAGGTGCCTCACTGTAATACCAATAATTGGTTATTGAGCTTGCTTATTTAGGGAAATCTCTTATCTGTTGTATGGGAACCAATTGTTGACTTGACAAATTTAGAAGTGTGTTGTGAATTACGGCCATTTTGTTGTTTTTTACAATATCAAACACAAGCGTATAGTTTACCCAATAATATTATAAGTTGTTGTTGTATAACATTATAAGAATGATATTATAAGAATTGAATAATATATTATGAGAAGATGTAGTGACAAAAATTGAGAAAGGTATGCTGAGATGGTTTGGCCATGTCGAGAGAATTAATGAAGAACGATTGACGAAAAAAGTGTATAAGGCGAGTGTGAATGAAATTGCTGGAAGGGGTAGACCTAGGCGGACATTTCAAAACCAAATCAGGGACGTCTTGAAAAAAGGCCAAGTCAAGAGTACCCTAAACCGTAGAGCATGTATGAAGGGAATAATAAAAGTGGACGAAGCGTAACAAGTATGTAAGGATCGTAGCAAGTGGATAGAAGTGGTCTCTGCCTACCACTACGGGAAAGAGGCGTGATTATATGTATGTATGCATGTATATTATAAGTACATTCGTACCACCTTACTGAATCGATGAGCTGTTCATTTCCCATTTTGGCAACAAAACGCGTGCACAGTGCAAAGGTCTATTTGTTTATGTCGTATTACGCGTAACCGTAAGTTCTAGGAACACACTCATAGATAAGCTAATATTATCTGGAGAACACACAGGTCATACGCGTGGGATTGCGTACAAACATCCCCTCCGCCTTCCCAAGCCGATCTAGACATCAAGACATTTTTTTTTCGTACAAAATCAATAGTTCAGACGTCATAATGCGTTGCATACGTTGCGTACGTGGGACCAGTCTGTTTCTACCTTTACTATATTATATACATATAAATATATATACATATAAATATATATACATATAAATATATGGCTTAGCTTTCCATTGACGTCCGTTGAGTTGGGTGTTAATACGTATTTTTACAGAAAAGTTACACTATTATAAGCACACAATAATTTTTGAGAAAAAAATTATTGAAAATTAATTACTCTTGCAATGTTTATGTCTAATCCTACCGTAAAACTGGCGCCATTTTGTAATGTCATTGTCGACGTCAATAGGGATGTCGATTCTTTCCGAAAAAGGTCGATTTTTAAATTGATTCAAATCGTTGAACCTAATCTATTTTATTTGTTATCTGCCCTAATAGGTACTGTTAAAATAAAACAAATTTCAATAAGAGATCATTTGTCATGGTATCTTTCTTGTTTTTCATAAAATGGGTTTATATTTACATTATAAATGCAAACATGAAAAAATATAGATATTTTAGAAATCGATTTCTTGGGAATCGATACATCAGCTTACAATTCGAATCTATTTAAAAAATCGATCTTTTTCGGAAAGGATCGACCTCCCTACTGACAATAATAATAAAAAATGGCGTCAGTTTCACGGTAGGAATGGACATAGATTTTGCAAAAATATTTGATTTTCAATATTTTTTTCTTAAAAAGTATGTGTTTCTGCATATTGAAACTTTGTGTATGCGCTTATAAAAATGTAATGTAATCTTTCTGTAAAAATACGTATTAACACCATACTCGACGGACGTCAATAGAAAGTCGTACCATATATATACACGACTATAAAATACTGGCAAGATCGAGAGTAAAGTTTTTTCAAAAATGCGTAAAATTCATTGACTTTCATTTCGCCTGTAAATGGCGTCATAAATTAGTGTCAATGAAATAAGGTTATCTAGTGATTCTTATACACCTCGTTAGCGTACATTAAAGCAATATGTACGTAGTACATAATAACTCAATGTTAGCGTCAAGCGTATAGGCGTTAGCATAGGCTTTAGTTTAAAACAAGAATTATATATTAAGGGATTTCGATAAGTTGTGGTTGTCTGCGTGTATCTGAAACAACTTAAAGCTACCTCTATTCTCGTTGCAATATACCTATATTGCACGAAATCAACCACCCTTTTATCCAAATCTTAATTGAGTATAAAATGTCATGAATCATGATACAACAGGTAGGTAATATGGTTTTTGAGCAATAAAAAAATTAAGTAATCAACAATGAGTGTATCCACTATCCACGACTTTTTTGCCACCAGGGTATGAAAATGAAATATACACATGAGATGAGGTGAAATATTTGTCAGATTTCATCTCGGGAGAAGTAAATTTGTTAGAAAACTGTGCGATTAATTTTTTTTTATGAAATATCTAGGTACCAGCTATATTTTATATTAATTAGATTCAAATGGATAAACTAAACTACGGATATTTCTAAAAGTAAACGAATTAAAAAGGAGGTTTAAAATGTGCAATAAATTAATGAGTGTTTAGGTCGTCATATAGCGAGAGTGTGTAACAAATAACTTCACCTCAATCCCAACTGTGACATCTGCCTAAGGGTATTAGTGTTCTGTGGACATCTGTGAGCGGTAAATGATTAGCCCTCATTGAAGTCCGTGAACATCCACTGGAGCAGCGCGGAAGACTAATTGCTTCATAAATTTCTTAGAAAAGAGAGGACTGCGTTCAGCAGTAGATTTTATTCGTTTAAACATATGCTGTAACTCTGTAACAGTTACTTTACTTTATTTAAATGGCTGCATAATATTTACGCCATTGCAGTGTTGCCAGGTTGGGGGATTTTTCCCTAAATTTAATGGGTTTTTGACGGCTTGGTGGAAAATCTAGGGGAAGCATTTTTTTAGGCGATTCGTTCAGATGATTTACAAACTTCCTTAAATTTAAGTTAAAAAAATTAAAGAAGAACTATTTAAGTTCAAAACAGAAACTATAAAAAGTTTCTTAATAAAAACGATTTAATGTAACAAAATAATAAGAGTTCAATGTAGTTCTAATCATAATAAAATACATTTTATATTGTTTTTATAAAAAATTATTCCAAAATATGTATAATTTCAAAGTCATTTGATTTTGGGGATTTTAAGTGCGCTTTTAGGGGAAAGTGTATGAGTCTATCTGCACATTCTTTGTTATGACATCTTTGGACCTGACAATGATAGTGTTAGCATTTGTCCATGATAACTAACAGATACAAATTAAAATTGTACGATTTTATAAAGTGAGGAAGTGAGGCGGGAACTTCACCGCCAGTGGATTGCTCCTCCTATTTTATCGTTTAAATAATGGTTTAAAATAGTTTTTGGTACATAAAGATGGTGCGTTTTGTATATTAAATGTCTACACATGAAAACTATTAGAGGAAACGATGTAACAAGTGCTTCGAAGGTTATATATTTCCAAGATTTTTGAAGTGAAAACTTCTATAGAATCGTTGTGATTTGAAACTCGACGAAACGAAACAGCGACACGAAAAAGAGATAAACATATATATCTATGGGATTTAACCTGCGAGAGAATGAGATAAAAGAGTCTCCTGTTTGTGCGGTGACCAGTTAAAAATGTAACAAATT